GGCATGCTTTAAGTTTGATAAGGGGCACTCCATATTTACTTACTGAGTTTATCTCATAGTTTTTCCTTGTCCACCATTTCAAGAAGTGAAATTGAGGACGAGGAAACCACGGGAAGTGACGAGTTAGAAAGCTAGCCATTTCGAGATTGATATAGAATTTTAGAAACAAATCATAATCTTGTATTTGGAGATTTCATTGGAGATTTATGATATCAGAGAGATTTTATAATTTGATCTTCAGATTTTGATGGTATCAGAGTGTGAATTTGATAAGTTTCGAGCCTTGTGCATTTGTGGGACCCGTCTCATGAGTGCACGGCGTCTGTCGCGTCTTGAATTTGGGTTTTGGGGCGTGACAATTTTTGTGCTAAGTGTACAAGAAAATTAATCCAAGGTTTCTAAAAAAAGGGACTATGATGGTTTGTTAGATCCAGCATGCAAGTGATCCTACGGCCTATGGCTTCGGTGAGGAAGGGGGTTTGGCAACAATGAAGGAGAGAAGATGATGAAGATCGACACTTCATGATTTGTTAGATCCAAAATGTAAGGGTCCGACGGCTATGGCTTTGGTGAGGAAGGAGATTTAGCAGTAATGAGTAAGATAGGGTTTTAGTTTGTGGTGGAGAAGCGAAAAAGATGAGCTTAGACTTTTCAGTAAAAAATGGTGCAAATTATTTTTACTTAATAAAAATAAAAAGGAAAATAAATAAGAAAAACATAAACATTTTTTATTCAATTTAGTTACACGTATACATAAACATAAGTTTATGAATATTTTTTTTAATAAGAATTTAGGAAAATGGGTAATATAATTGAATTGAATTAAATTGATTGATTGAATAAAAATAATAAAAAAATTAGGTGTTATGTGAAAAGAAATATTTAAATCGGTTCCAATCTAGTTTGGATCCACTTTAGAGTTTTAATAATAATAATAGAAAAAAAATTATTATTTAATTTATAAGTGTGAACCCACAATATGAACACAAAATGGTTTTTTTAGTTTTGATTTAATTTAGTATATCTTTAGATGCTACATTTGTTTTATTATAATTGACTATTATTATACTTTTAATTTATTAAGAAATGAAAAAATATAGAATTTTAAGAAAAAATATAATGTAATGGTATAATAAGTATTTTATATTAAAAATATATGACATTAATTATTTAGGGTATAGTAATAACTTTATCCCTATCATTAAATTTGATGTAGTGTGAAAGGGAGTATTTGAACTAGTTCTAATCCAGTTCCAAACTAGTTCAAAGGTTTAAAAGATAAAACTATATAGTTTATAAGTGTAAACAGATGTGAACACAAAAAGCGTTTTTTGGTTTTGCTTTAACATATCTTTAGATGTCTTTAGTTAATTGCCAAGGTATATATTTTTAAAGATTTGTATAAGGGTTGGCCTTCACTAGCTTTCATTATTTTTTATATTATGTAAAAATTTTATAGTAATAACATATTCAAATGAGATTGGATACGAACATTGACCTATTTTCCTTCTCTAAAATGTTTTTCTATAAATTATTTAAAAATTATATTATAAATACAAATTTTTTCTAAAAAAAATACTTATTTAAAATTTATTTTTGAATTTTACTCTATTGGATTTTTAAATTTTACAAGAAAAATTTACTTTAAAAAACTAAGCAAGTTTATTTTTCCCCTATTTAATTTCAAAAAAAAAAAAACAAAGTGGAAGAAAGGGAAGACAATATTCTTTTATTTTCCTCTCATCCATTTTTTTGTTTAATTGTTTTTTTTTTTAGTACATCTGAATGGGTTATATAAGAGAAGATAACCCACCCTTTCTATGAATCCCTCCTCATTGGACTTAAAATTTGAATTTAAGATCTCTAATTTGAAATTTCAAACTTTTAACTATTAAGTCACCTTTTAGGGGTTTTTTTTTTTTTAATTTAATTATACTAAACTTATAAAACAAATTAAATAAAAGTCCTTCCTTTTCTTCCTCTAATTTTTGTTAGGTTAAACCCCCCATTTGGTCCCTCAACTATTGTATGGACCTTCAATTTAGTCCCTCAACTCAAAAAATCCATGACTTGGTCCATATTATTTACCATTTTGGCCCCAACTTGGTCGTTCTGTTAAAAATCTAGTGACGTGTCCCGTTAACCAACGAGAGCACAATGACATGTCAAAATAGTGTGACACGTCAAATGTACACTTGGAAAAAAAGATGACATAGCAATATGACATGTTTCATTCTTGCTCAAAACCAAACCAAAAAAAAAAAAAAAAAAAGAGTGGGGCCCACCGCTTGCATAAACTGAACCCTTCTCCCTCTTTCTTCCTATTTGAACCTTAGAACAACAAAACTTTTCCATCGAACCCAACAAGTGCCCTTTCTTTTTCCTTGCTCTTCCTTGCCTTGCCTTCTTTATCAATCAATTCCTTCACCAATCAATTCTTGATCATCATCAAACAACAAAACCCACAAAAAAAAAGATTTTTTTTTGTTGCTCCTGGGTTCAAAAGAACTCGCACCTGGGTTCCATCGAACCTAGCGCCTAGAATCCAAGGAACCCAGAACTTAGGTTTGAAAGAACCCACACCTAGGTTCCATCGAACCTAAGCATGTTGCCCAGCATGCCTTGGTTTAATTGGACAACACACCTAGGTTCGATGGAACCCATCAAATCTAGGTTTGAAAGAAATTGCACCTGGGTTCCATCAAACACAAGTGTGTTGGGTTCGAAGGAACCCATCAGTCATTGAGTTCAAAGGAACCCAATGATCGTTGGGTTCCAAGGGGAAAGAGAAAGGGAAAAAGAAGGAAATAAAAAAAGGAAAGAATTTTTTAAGTCTTTTTTTTTTGTCATATTAATATTTTTTCATGTTATCATTTTTTGTCATGTTGTCTTCCTATGTGTATTAAAATTTGACATGTCATCATGTAACCATGAATTAATAGGTCACGTCATGAGATTTTTAACGAAAGGACTAAGTCGGGGCTAAAATGGTAAATAATAAAGACTAAATCAAGGATTTTTTAAGTTAAGGAACTAAATTGGGGGTCCATATAATAGTTGAGAGACCAAAATGGGGGTTTAACCTTTTTGTTATCTAAATAAAAAAAATTTATTTTACTCTCTTCAAATCAAACAAGTAATTTAGCTCCACCAAACAACTTCAAAGTGCTATCTGAATCATTTTTGCCGTTTAATAAAAATAATTTTAAAAGTTGGCCTCTGACCTGGGTTTCTAGCGGCTGAAGACCTTATAAATTAGATATTTCATGTTGAGAAGTGATTACGGATTTGTGGGGACTGATTATGAATGTATAGAGTTGTATAGCTTTGTAAAGTAGTATATGAAAAATTTATTTACTTTAACCATTAAGTAACAATTATCTAATAACAAGAGTATTTAAAATATAAATATTAATAATTATCCGTTGTGACTAATAAATAAGCTAAACATGATGCACCTGGCCTTTGGGCCTAGTGGCAACTGCTACAATGAAAGGTGCATTCCCCTTCCCTAGCGTGGGTTCGACCTGCGCCATGACCAATTATTCAAAAAAAAAAAAAAAAGCTAAACATGACATAAATAAAAAGTTGGTTTCATGTGCGGCAATTCAATGAAAAGAACTCATGACAAAACTATGCATCATATCGTACAAGATATTGTATTTAAAAACAATATACATGAGATATTGATGCGGATAGGCTAGAGGGTACGGTGGGGTTGGGGATTTAGATGCTATATGGGTAAATATATATTGTGAATAGTATGCATGACAATAAAATAAGGTCTGTTTAGAATAGAAAAGAGGAGAAATAAAAAATAAACCATCAGAATAATAGAAAAGATAGAGTCACACTTAGTTTATTTAGGCATCACACGTAAAGGATAAAACCCTTAAACATTACACCTAAATCTACTTACATCACACAATTAAGAGCAAAACTTGTTAGAAAATTTTGAATATTATTAACTGTATAATGAAAGAAGCTACATGCATATTTATATAGAAACTATTAAGACCCTTACCAAAACTCCTATTCTAATTAGTCTATAACTTAAAATTTAAATTTCTAATTTAACTAGAACTTAAGACTCTTGATAAAAGACCTAATTCTAATAAAAGTAGAAAAACTAATGGTAACTACATTTGAATAAAAATAATTACGTAAGAATTTTAAATAATCTAAATAACTATCGAATAGTTTCTTCTTGTTCCTCATAAGAGATTTTCCTCAACACAAGGGAATCTGATATGCGAGTAAAGTGGATAAAAAATATAAGAGGATTATTTTTCGTTGTGCAATCAACATAAAAAAAAAAAAAATCTGACACACATTTTAATTTTAATATCTTTAGTAAAAAATGATTATTTTTGGGGAAGACCGCTCTTAAAACTTTAGTCTCCACAAACAAAAAAAAAATTATTAAATGAAATTTTTTTTTGCCAACGTTAAATGAATCTTTGTGCACCCTAATTTGTTAAGGATATTTTTATTTTTTTTAATCAAATAGATATTTTTAAATGCAAAACAGACCATAAAAAACATTTATATATTTAGTGTTTTAAAACACTGTGGATTGATTGTTCTAGAGATTCTAGCTTATGATGTAATTGTAACTGCAGAACTAAAATTATTCATATGATGGAACCTGTTTCTCTTCAAAATAATGACATTTTTCCATGAAAAAAAGTATCGTGTGAGTATGTGAATCCTACAAGACAATGTCATATAAAACAATATTCAAGGTGTATTAACTTTAGAAATGATTTAGGTACAAAGATTATAAGTATATAATTATGATCAATTATTTATAAATAAATATTTATAATATTATAAATAAATTTTTAAATAAAAAAATTAATTATCAAAATAATATATTGTAATTATAAATTTATAATAACATATGATATTATAACTTATCATTCTCATATATTTTAAATCTGTATCATTTAATTGATGATTAAATCTAAAAACTAACATGGCTAATATTTCTCTTAAATAATGGTGTTTCCAAGGTAAATTTTAAGAGAACCCTCGTGGCATTAACACTCTTGTTGGTCGCAGTAACAATCTCCCATTATTGGCCATGTAATCCTTTAGGACTTAACCTTCCAACTTCCAAACCAATGGAAGGGCAACGGTAGACGCTCAACAAAATAAGGTCATAGAGGAAAAACGGAATTTACCCTAAAGAATAAGGTTATCACTTGACCCCAACTAGTTCATTCGTTGGCTATAATAAGCACAAATGAAAGAAAATTAGTAGTGGCCAAGCCGCCAAGGAATTAGTTTAAGGAGAAGAGGGAAAGGACATT